CAGGCACCCCAAAGGAGGTCTGGGCCAGCAGGGCTGGGTCTGCACAGACAGCTGAGGGTTTCTGCCTCCCCCCAGCTGTGCTCGAGAGTGGTCGTCAGCGCTGCTTGGACTATTTCAAACAGCTGCACAGGAGCTGCCTGGCAAAAGTGTCCGTGCCCCTCATCAACCACGTCCTCTGCCTGCCCATACGGATCGGGGTCCTCTGCCAAGCAGTCAAGCGTGAGTGATGTGTGGGACCCATTTCCCTGTCCCTGTCCTCCCTTGAGGGGCAGCTCCAGATCTGCCCCCCACAGATCCCGGGACGGCAGCCACAGCCACGACCGTCCCCATTCCGTCCCTGCAGTCATGAGCTCCTGGTGTGAGGAGAGGATCCCTGTGGACAGCAACTTCGGGAAGGTGTTTGACCAGGTGAACGACTCTGTCCAAAACCTCGGCCAGGAATTCACTGCCAGCATCGTCTACAAGGTGGGTGCTTGGGCACCCTGTGGGTGCCCGATCCCTGTGCCCAGGGCCAGGGTGGGGGCCACATCCTGCCCTGCCCCACGGCCCCTCCACTGCAGGAGGAGCACCAGGAGATGTTGGTGGGCATCAACATAGTGGAGCAGTTGCAGGAGGAGGTGACCTCGCAACTGCGGGAGGAAGGCGCCCGCCTGGGCTTGGCCGTCTCCTTCTTCCGCCTGTTGCTGTCCTTCACCTTCCTCTTCGTCTTCTTCTCGTGAGCCTCGGGATGGTCGGGGGGTGGGGGGTGACACCCCTGTGCCAGTTGTGGGGCACAAAGGGTTGGGGGCCCCCTTTAGCAGCAGGTCTGGGGGGGATGTGAAAACAAGGGGGTGTGTCCTCAGGGGCTGTACCCGGTGCCTCCTTTGCCCTCCCTGGACCTGTCCTCTCTCGCCAGGGCTTTCTACTACACCTACCGGTACTGCCACGACATCGGCTTCGACAACTGCTACATCACCACCTACTTCCGACAGATCGATGCCCGGCGTGGAGAGCAGGTTGGGCAAGGGGGACAGGGGTGGAGGGTGGCCTCCCACGCCTGGTGAAGGGTTCTGGGGGGCTGTGCTGAACCACCCTGCTGCCCCTC